AGTTTATCCTTTGAGACCCGCTCAGTCTGTTGGCTACTGCAGGGAGCTTTGGATGGTGGTCTTGATCTTCCGCACAGTGATAAGAGATTTGCTGGCTTCAAGAAGGATAAGAAGCAGCTGGGCGCTGAGATTCACCTCAAATACATCTATGAAGGTCATGTTGCTGACTGCATGAAGGTGAATTGGATCCATTGCCCTCGTGGTATTATAATGCCATTTCTTCATTCCCTAGTGCTATCATTGTTGTATACATGAATTCTTTCTGGAAGATATATCTGGGCCTGATTCACCCATATAAAGTATCCTAAAGCAGTGTACTTTTGTTCTTATTTCTGAAGCAGCTTACTGAATCTCGTTTTAACTTCTGCCCTACCCTATTTCAGTCAATAGCTGATGAGGAACCTAAGAAGTACCAATCTCGCTTCAGTGAGTACATCAAGAACTGAAGATCAAGGTGATTTTTCTCCCTCTTGTTAACCTTTGTTCTCTCATTTTGATGCTATAAACATGACTACATGAGGGAGAGAAGAGAATACGACAAAGTTCGATGAGATTTGTAGTGAAGAGCTTTCTTTCATTTGTTTACCTACATATCTTGATTGCACAATCTGGGTATGTTAGGAATGCAAATGCCCCTTTATAGGAAGCTTGAGACTTCAATTTTCTGATGGGGAGTTATGTGTGGTTTCAGGGTTACAGATGCCACAAGGCTTGCCTAACAAAGGTTCCCAGAAAAAGGAATGGTTTGACCAAAAAAGGTGGTTCTTTCTTTAACTGTTTCGATCCTTTTTTTTATGCTAAAAGGAATGCTTATGTTTATGTTTTACTATTTGTAAAATAAACATATGTCAGGTTTTAGAGCAAATTTCAGGTTAAACATTTTCACGATTTGTATTCCTGGTTTGAACATATGCTAGAATCATATCTACTCCTGAAAATCTTTGTATGTATATGCAGTGTTTTGGAATGGGCTATGATTCTTTTTTAGTATTTTAGGTTACACATTTCTCCTAAGAATCTTGATATTCACTATATTAGTATAGTATAGGTTTGTAATTTTTCCTTGGGAATCTATATATCCAGTCAAGCTGGGATAGACTATTTTTTTTTACTCGGTCATGGCGATGGCACTCTGCCAACGACATGGCAACAGGTCAATAGTTCATGTTCTTTCTATACATTTTTGCAGGCTTTGCTCTCCAAGTGCATAACACTTTCCCACTCCCCATCGATGACGATCTTCCTGTATGAGCATTTTCATCTGTGCTCCCTATTTTCCTTGCTCCACTAAGAATGAAGCCATTAACTGTTGACTGTAATTGCGAGGTAGCTCTTTTAGTACCACAGAAGTTATTCCGAAAGGTCATTAAGCTTATTCCAATGCCAACTTCTGTAAAGGTGCTTGTCCTGGTTATTACAGTATGTTCCTTTTGACAAATCAACAGAAGTGTACAAATTCATTTAAATGGGTTCGCAAGGTATTTTCATTAGCAATGCCACAAGGCATCAGAAAGCACAAGTAGCGAGAACAATTAGTTCTGTTTTAATATCATAGTTCTACAAATCCTAAATCGTGTTAAATTAATCTGCTAGAGTATGGTGATAACAGAGGGGCACTGTTTTTGAAAATTGTTTTTTCTGTTTCAATTGTATAGGGCCCTCCACAAGGATATTGATTTCATCAGGTGTAGATGTTTAGTTGAACAGATATTGTTTGTCAGTTTCTTAGTGCGTGCCTAGCTGTTTCCCCTTTTTACATTGCTTCTTTTCTGTAGGATTTCTTGAAACATAATAACTTGCTTCCACAATTGTAGAATGATCATGGTTTCTTTGCAGTCCTGTACTTTCATACGATTAACAATTTCATGGCTATCCTAGGTAACAAACAGACATCATTGGCATTAGCCAATGCATTTGCGTTAAATGCCCTGCTGGCCGAGTGCAACTTCGTTCTTCTTTAGTGGGTATTTGTATTTTCCAAAAAGAAGTTGGTGCACCTCATAGTTGTTTTGTAGCCTGACTATTATGCCTAGGTTTTGCTCTATAATACAGAACTAAGTAGTTCACTATGTCAGTTGGCTATCTGTGTCGCTTCATAGTTATGGAAAAACAGGGTAGAGCTCTAATGACTACTCTCCTCGATCAATCTATGAGAGCCAAGATTATCTTTTAAGTAGATTCCATATCTTTGAACAACAGATTCTGATTCTATTACAGAGATGTTTTAATTCATTTTTTATTAGTTGAGCTACTACATTTAACTAATGATTTGAGCTGCCTTAGTCCCAGATAGTGACTATCTAAATTATTGACATCCACTCAAATAAATATACAAGAGTTGTATGAAAGGGAACCTGTTATGGCGCTGCTAGAAGGAGGGCGCGAGAGGGCCGGCCGGGGGCCTTTTTGCCCACGGCCGGACAAGAGGGAAGGGATTTCCTTCTTAATTCTTGCTTGATTAGATTGATACATCTCCTCTCTTTATATAGAGAGGTTTACTTTCCAAGCAAGGCTTACTTGACCCCTAAGCAAGCGACCCTTATCTCTAATTAACCCTAAGACTAACGGGCCCATTAGGCCCATTATGTACTCTAACACTACACCCCACCTGGACATGCAGCTTGTCCTCGAGCTGCAGCCTAACCAACTTATAACCATGACTCGACGCAACACAAACCTAACACCTAAAAATAAACCCATTATTATCAACCTGAATGGACTGGGACGCTTTATTTTGGACCCCTTAACAAAAAGTGGACACCATCCGCACGTCGGACGTGCACGTGTACAGCCACCCGGATCCCATGGACACCACCTAAACAAAAGGAGTGCATGTGTATGGTCACCTGGAAGTGCTCGCAAGAGTGACCAGCAGAGGCACCCTCGCGGCGGCCGGTGGCGGATTGCAGTGGTGCTACGCGGTGCATTCTTGTCAGTGACACCCTGCCTTCTCCCCGCCGGACGGCTGTTGGTCTGCACCGCACAGAGAAGAGCGAAGGCCTTGCGATGGAGAATGACGAGGAGGGGTGTGCCCCCCCAACCGCCGATGTCGAAGATTTTGAGGTCGCTGCCCGCAGGGAAAACAGCATGCCCGAGATCCCCGATGCAGCGGACGAGAGTGAGGTCCTTTGCGCAGCGAAGGGCAACTTGGAGGAGCGGCAGCTGCAGACCACGCATCTCCCGCACACGCCGACGCGCTAGGAGGCTGCGCGCAGCAGCCTGCAGCCTCACCGCCGCCGACACGTGGTGGGTAGCGATCCAAGACGGAAGCGGTGACGGCGACGGCGGGGACTTGATCTGCTGGATGTGGACGCCCTGGGATGGCGGCGGCGCTGATGGGAACGAGGTCGTCGCAGTCCCGTCGTAGGGCATCCCATACTGGGCGACGGAGCTGACCGGCGGTGGCTGCTGCAGCTGCAGCAGCTGCTGCGGTGTCGCGCCGGGCAGCAACAGCGGCTGCTGCGGTGGAGCGCTGGGCGCGGCGGAGGCCGCCAGGAGCGGCGGCTGCCACTGCAGCCAGGGCTGGGCGGTGGTGGCGATGGATGGCAGCTGCAGCGGCCCAGCGAGTGCGGCAAACGCCGCCTGGTGCAGCGGCTGCCACGGCAGCCACGGCGGCGCGGGGGCGGCGATGGGTGGCGCAGCCGGGTGCGGCCCGTAGGACCCGGCCAATAACAGGTGGATCTCCTGGACCGCCTGGGTTAGGTCGTGCAGCACCCCGAGCACCTCCTCCGGGGTGAGGACGGCGGGGGCGGGCGTGACGGAGGATCCCAGCGCGGGCAGGAGCGTGGCGACGGTCGTGGTGGTCGCCGGAGGCGACGAGGTGACCGGTAGCGGAAGAGACGGGCTTGGCGGCGGTGAAGACATGATCAAACCGAAGCTAGCTGATACCAAATTGTTATGGCGCTGCTAGAAGGAGGGTGCGAGAGGGCCGGCCGGGGGCCTTTTTGCCCACGGCCGGACAAGAGGGAAGGGATTTCCTTCTTAATTCTTGCTTGATTAGATTGATACATCTCCTCTCTTTATATAGAGAGGTTTACTTGACTTCCAAGCAAGGCTTACTTGACCCCTAAGCAAGCGACCCTTATCTCTAATTAACCCTAAGACTAACGGGCCCATTAGGCCCATTATGTACTCTAACAGAACCACTCACCTTTTTAACAAGAAATATGTTATAGCGTCATAACAATGTTCAGGTCGCACATGCATACCAGAACACTGAGGGGTGGTCTTACAAATGACAACTACTTTCATGTTAGTAATTTCTTCTGTTTGACATATTCCATGACCCTTGCTAGCTCCAGTCATTCAATTTATCATTATATCCACCATATTTTTATGCTCGACATTCCTAATCTGCCGGTCACAAGAAACTGTAGTATAATGTCAGGTCGCACATTCTTTTTGTTTCATGGTTCAGTACAGGTCTCATGGTGAGCAGCAGCACTAGGTTGCAGTATAATGTCAGTTGATTGCAACATCCCGAGTTATTTTATCGATGTTTTTCATCTAGAAGCTTGAATCTCTTTCAACTTTCAGTACACATATATTCTGATTTGTGCATAAGGAAACTCACAAGTTTGTGTCCATCTTTTTGGTAGTAATCATATGGCTTGCATATTTTATCAGACTGATCAGTCACAAAGATCGGTCTGATCATATTTGGTACAGAAGATCAAAAGAAGCATTTATATCATCTTTTTGTGTGCTTTTTCTGTAGAAAAGGTACCATGGGTTGATGGTGTTGGATCCAATCACTATATGATGTAAATTGACTGCTATTCCTAAGAACTGCTCCTGGACACAGTGCTGTATGTTATCATGTCTTACATTCTATTGTGTTGCCTATCTTTATAGTTACTCGGATCTTACATTTCAGATTTTGTATTTTTGTCGGTGCAAGTGTTGCCTTCCTACTGTCAAACAACATGGAATTTTTTAAATTAAATTGTACATATTGTCGAAAAATATCCAGTGCATGTCTATATTCATGCCTGCTATAAAACAAACATTCTTCATTGCCTATGCCTTTTCCTTCTGTTAAAGATGATAATGCAGCTCTCCATCTTATTAATTCCTTCTTCATTCACTTGAAATATTGCCTAATTTTTTGTGTGTGTATTTGGTTTAGCAGCGTGACTTATGGTCAAATTGAAGGTGCTTAGCATGGTCTGGTATGCATTTCTTAGTTTCTCTTGATTTCTGTTTCTGTTTTTGTTTCAATTCATTTTAAGCCTATTGTATTTGCATACATATTGGAGAGGTTATTTCTCGTGTGAAGTTACTATTTTTTTCCAGTTCTGAAGCACTTTCCTCACCTTCTGATGGTTTACAAGAGAAAATATTTCTCTGTTTGTATGGTGCAGGTTTCTTTATGGTCTACTTTACAAGAGAAAACATTTCTCTGGAAGGAGCTGCTGACAAGGCTTAACAACAAACTGGACGGAGT